GTAGCCATAAAGACTCTGTGGGAGTAGAAGTGTGCTCACAGGTGAGTGAAAGCTCGTCTGAGGGGAGACTCGGGTTCATGCACCGGGGCTCTCTTCTGGAGGTGACTGCAATCCGCCACCATCCTGAAACTGGAACTGCTGGCGCACAGCATCATCCGCCATTCATGAGACTCTCCTGAGAAGAGCCTGCCTAATACAGCTGATTCTCACCACCTGTTGCCTGGCCCACACCATCACCTGTGACAGCAAAGCGGCTGGAGCCCGCATCCCGTAGAGAGAGAAGATAGGGAGAGCTGAAGAGGAGCCCCACCCCCCATGGGGAAACATTGCAGCCATTCTCTCTGTCCCTGGACCAGGCAGAGACCTCCATTGCCCTGGCCAGCTCCACCTAGCTTCCAACTTGGTCCCTAAAATAATCTCATCAAACTCAGAGAAACAGATACCCCTCCCCCACACTGGATCAGACACAGACATATCAGCTCTGAGTGGGAGACTGGACAGGCAGCAAGTCGAGTGAGTCCAGATCTGATCCACCCTCCTCCCACAGTAGGCCTGGGGCATCTGATCCAGGCTGAGAGCAACCTTATCAGCCTGTGCTGAGAGCAGAGGGCACAGGCTGGAGACCAGAGCTGAAGGGAAGTTTCTATTGGCATATTTTCATGTTCCTTATTTAGTCCTTGACCATATCTAGTCTCTCAATGAGACCACTGAAAGAGTTCATCATTTATGTTGCAGGTTTGTGTGTGTGTGTGTGTGTGTGTGTGTGTGTGTGTGTGTGTGTATTTCTAGTATTTTAAAGTACTTTAAGTTTTTATCTCTCTGCTTGCATTGACCATCTGTTTTTATATGTTATCTACTTTCTCATTAAAGGTTTGAACATATTAATAGAGTTATGTTAAATTCCTGTTAGATAATTCCAACATCAATGGCAGATTTGAGTCTGATTTTGATGTTTACTTTTTCTATAGAGACTGTATTTTTATTGCCATTTTGTAGGTCTTTTAACTTTTTTGTTGAGTCTGTTGTGTTGTACCAGGGTTACCCTCCCCCATGAGACAGAATTAATTTTTGGAGAGTGGGCTCCTTGTAGTACAGGCTTTCCCCACTAGGTAAGTGTTCTAGGAGCCCATAGCCATCAGTGTACCAGCTAGTGTTGTGAGAGGCTGCATTCAACTTCAGTGAATTTTTTTTTTTTTTTAGATTCTTTCATTGCATTTTTCCATCTCCTGATGGGTGATTTACAAGTCCTCATGCTCACAATACCCTGAGTATGCTGCAGTTTTTGATCAAAAAGTGGCATGACCCTCACGCCCCATCCTCCCTATTCACCCAATCTCACCCTGAGCAACTTTTTTTGTTGTTATTTTCTTGGATGAAGGAATCCTCAAAGGGAAACATGGAATAGGTGAAACAAAAAAGGTAGAAGTCAGTTTTCAAAAAATCCAGTTTAAAAATTACTATGTCCAGAAGGTTAATCATAAGAATATGATGGTACTTGAATATTAATAAAGAATATTTAACATTTTTATAAAAGGACCTTAAAGATCAAGCCATCATTTATTGTGCTCATAGGAAAGAAAACTATAAAACTAGAAGCTCCCCAGATCAGCTAATATATTGCCCTGTAATTAATTGGCCCAAATAAACAAATTTTTATATTATAATTATAATGTAGTTTATTGGAGAAATATGGGCTTTGAGAAAACGTGGAAGTGAATTCCAGATCAGTAATATATAATCTGTATGATCTTAGCTAAGTTAGGGACAATTATAAATACTGCTGGATATTAAGGTAATTGAGTTAATAAATAAGAAATCTGACACTGCTTGCAACAGATAATTATCAGTTCTTTTCTAGTCATGGGATATTGGATACAAAATTTCCCTGAAATCCCAGCTCTTAAATTTCTGAACTCAGAGGAGATGAGAAGTGAACACTTATTTCCATCCGGCCTCAAGAAAGATAGCAAGAATAAAATTCCAAAGGAAAAGAAAAGGTGGAATTTCTCATCAGCACTATTATATTATAAATCTTAATATCACTTTACCTAGCTTCCACAGCCATCCAATCAAAATGTAATTTACTGTGATCCAAATCAATAAACATTTACAGAGTGCCTAGTCATGTACTGTAACAAAGGCAACCTTCAAAGGCTCAAAGATGGGAGAATTTGTAAATGCAAATTTAGAAAAATAAAAATAAATAAAGCATGATAGTGAAGTAAGGATAGACAAATAGTTAATAGAACTGAATAGAGTCTAGAAATAAACCTACTCATATATAAAGATACTTTATTTATGAAAAAGGAGTGCATTAAACTGCAGAGTAGTAGGAAAATAAGGGTTTTGTAGAAGATGATACTGATTCAACTGAAATTTTGACCCCCTACCTCACACCGCACACATATACTCACACACACGAACACACATATCAATGTTACATTGATGGTATATTTAAATATTGAAAGTAAAACCAAAGCATTTCTAAAGTTAACATCTTTATTACTTTAGGATAAACAAAGTTTTTTAAAAATAAGAAAAATACTACTCATAAATAAAGATCAATAAATCAAACTAAATTTTATTAATATAAATACACCATTAAGGGAGTGAAAAGATATTAAATGGTATGGAATATGTGATTCAAAAACATATAACTAATAAAGAATTAATATCTAGACTATATAAAAAAGTCTTTCATTCTTAAGGACAAACCAACTAAAAACATGGACAAAGGATATGGGTGTTACTTCACAAAGAAGAATATTTAAATAGACAAGAAACATTAAAAAGTGCTTAATCCAATGAACCATCAGGATAATTACATACTCATTAGAATGGCTAAACCTAAATACATTGACAACTGGAAGTGTTAGTAAGGATGTAGAACAGTTGAAATTCTCATATACTGATAGTAGAAGTCAATATTGGCATAACTGCATGACATAATTTTGCCATGGTATAAAATAGAGCTTAACAGGCCCATTCGCTGTAATCTAATTCCAGTCTTAAATATATTGACCAGCAGAAATATCTCCATTTGTGTATAAAAATATAGTACAAGAATATGGTAATATGCAATACATTATTACTAATAAATTCAAATTGGAAACAGCCCAAATCCTCATCAACAAAAGAATGTCTAAATACATGTTAGTGTTTTAATACCCTGAATATTACACATCAAGGAAAATAAACAGACTACTGGTACACATGGCAAGATGGAAAAATCTTACAAATATAATATTTAGAAGACAAGAGGCAAATAAATAAAAATACCCTACAATTTCACTTTAAAGTTTAAGAGTAGACAAAACTAAGAATATATGGTTTAAAAGTCAAAATAATGACTCCATTTGTGACTGTTGGCTTATGCACAAATTGGTGTATGTGCTATATTTCAGCTAAGATCTCATTAAAAAATGGTGTCAAACACAAACAGTCTAGCAAGATTAACAAAGATGTATAAGAGAAAAGTCAGGCTGACTCAAGGTGTGCTTAAGGTAAGGGACAAAAACAAGGCCTGGGAAAGGTTTCAACAAATAACCTTTTCAAACTCACAATATTCAGGAGAGCAAGTGGATAAGACAAAAGAATGAACGAGACTAGATTTTAAAACAGCAGCATGATCACGATGATAAGAGGAACTGGCATTCTGCTTCAGTGTTAGAAAGTCTACAGGGCAAAATGGAGATTGAGAACCAAAGGCATATTCCTTGTCTAAAGGGAATAACTATTAGCTTCTAGCAATCACTGTCTTTCTTGCACATTGATATAGTTTCTAGACATCCCAATTCTTCAAAAAAGGGTAAACATTTATGTGTTTACACATTGGTTTTTGTTTTTTTTTTTGAGTTGGAGTCTCACTCTGTCGCCCAGACTGGAGTGCAGTGGCCGCTCCCGGCCACCGCAGCCTCGACCTGCAGGGCTCCGGCGATCCTTCCATTTCAGTCTTCTGAGTAGCCGGAATTACAGGTGTGCGCTACCACGCCCGGCTGATTTTTTGATTTATTGTAGAGATGAGGTCTCGCTGCCCAGGCGGGTTTAATGTATAAGTTGTATACCCTCACACATTTTGTGCTGAGTATGGGGGGGACAATGTATCCTTAATTGAGAAATGTCCCATAGCAAATGACTTCTAGCAAACTCTGTGATAATTCAGGACTATCTTGCTCACCTCAATATCTCTTGTGCTTGGCACATGGTGGCTTGGTATATATTAAGCAAACAGTAAATATTTTGCTGAATAAGTCAACAGGTTAATAAATGAACTTAGAATGTATGAGTATGAGTTTTCAAGGTAGTTAGAGCAAAAGGGGCATCCTAGCTTTGATTATGACATATGAAAAAGGGTAGATGATTGCAAAAAGCATATATTTGGGGTGCTACATGTAAGTCAGGATTGCAAGAGTTTAGTGTTTGCATTATATATAGCATATGTTATATATATATATGTGCGTGTGTATATATATAAATACATATGTCTATATATATATTTATTTTGAGATAGGGTCTTGCTTTGTCACCCAGACTGGCATACAGTGACTGATTATAGCACACTACAGTCTCAACCTCCTGGGCTAGCAGCTAGAGGAATAAACCGCCAAATAACTCCCCTACTGTCAGATAAGAACAGTTGAGTCACCTGTCCTACTCACTTATTTTGCAGGCAGTTAAGGGTATCCATTTCTGTGCTAAAATGAAGTAATGAAAGACAAACCAACAAACCCAATTTGTCAATTCTGACTTAATCCCATTTATTAGAGTATGAAGCAAATACATTTTTTCCCACACCACAGCAACATTGACAAACATTGTACCAATATTTTATGTCAAGGAAAGATGAAAAAGGAGATTAAAACATCAGAAAAGCAGCTGACATTAGACCAGACACAGTAAAAATAAGAAAAAGCAGTCACTACTAGGGAAGAAACAAAAGTCCTTGTAGTTCGAATTTTTGCCCTGGGTCCACAGCGTAATTATTCACTGGAACAAGGAAACTACTGGCCACCCAATGCAGAGCAAGATGGATGACACGTGTTGAAGACATGGGTAGAAGGTTGGCAACCACTGGACAGAGGCCCCAGAGGTCTAAGTCTGCTGGACACAACATGAAGTGTTTGGGGACCATAGGCCAAGCAACCCAAGGGTCGGCATCCATAAGTGAGGAGGCTCTGGGGTTGGCAGATGTTGGATAAGCAGGTTTGTGGGCGATAGACACCAGACACACAGCCTCCTATGGGCTGGCAGCTATTGAGCAGGGGGCCCAGTGGACGACAGCTGCTGGACACGTAGTTCTGAGGTCTATAGGATACCGGAAGGCAGGAGCTGGAGATGAAGGAAGAAGCAGGAAGAAAATGGGTTCCTTGGCAGGGTCTGGGAACATAGTAAGCAGAAGAACAGCAAGAGTTTTCAAGGTTGCCGGTCTCACAGTTGGTTGGCTGGCAGCTGGTTGGCTCACCGCAGGACTCTTGGCAGTTGTCCGTGAGCCAGGTGCGGTCTTGACAGCTACTGGGTAAACAGAGGACATCTCCACAGCTCACATTGGTAGAGCAGAGGGCAACGGAGGTGGTGAAAGGAATATGGCAGGAGTTTCTGAGGGAGCCTGAGCTGTTGTTTCCAGAGCAGTAGTTAGGGCAAGACATACCGAGGTTTTGAGAGCAGGCTGTTGTTGAGGGAAAGAAGCTTGAGCCTCAAGTTTGATTCTGCCCCTCATTTGACTTGACCCTTTATATATCCCTAGAAGGTGGTGCTTCTGTAAACAGACTCTTCCTCCTTATTATATGAAGCTGCATCAGAACTCTTTATTATAGCCCGGGAAGTGATGCTTCCACTTCCCATAAAATTAGTTATTCCTTGCAATGCCTTCCATTGATAAAGTATATTTGTAAGGCAGTGTGACTGAATTTTAATAGGATCTCTCCTTAAATTATCCAACCAAAACAGACGCTTTTGAAAGTTAGGCATTTATTCAAATTGTAGCCACCACTGCACAAACATCCTTAAAATTCCTCTCTTGAAATCATCTCTAAAAGTTGTAGCAAACTTCTTTGAAACAGTAGCGAATTATCTCTCTTTGAAAGGAAATTCTATTCTTTTTTGGAAATTGCCAAAAGTAAGTAACTTGGAAGCAAGTATGTTGTAAAAGAAAGTGACAATTCCTATCAATTATATGACAGGAAGAGTTTAAGCTGCCATAATGTGGAAAATTTCAATGTGCTTTGCTTTATTTCAGGATGTATTTTCCAAATGTATTCTTTCTTTGCTTTATTTCAGAATTCTTTGGAAATCGACTTCCCAGCAAGATATCTTTATTCAAAAAATGTGTGCTCATTTTATTCATTTCCATAAATAAAGAAGCTGAGTCAAGCTGAAAACTTGGTTTGTGTTTAAGGTATCCTTAAACATACATAATGAAGTTGGGCTCAGTTAAAATTAAGTATCCCACTGTGAACTAAAGCAAATAAACAGACCCCTTAAAGAAAGTTTGAAAGCATGACATTTTTCATAATTATTACAAGCTTATGCATTGCATAATTACTCATATTCTAACTAAAAATATTGTTCTTGGTAAAAAAAAAAAAAAAAGATTCAGAAATTAAGAGATGAGTTTATTTTACTTTCGGTATTAGTTCTGATATCTGTTTCCAAAAAAGAGCTTCTAAACTGCTTCACACAGCCAATCACTTCATGATAAATCTACAGTTAGTTTAAGTTTGAGGACTGTAAACACCATTTGGGGATATGTATTTCTGGTCAAACTTGTTCAAAAAATTGTACAGTTGTGATTAGTTTCAACTGTCCCTCTATTTTTGACATGCTGACATATCTAGTGGCTCCAGTGGCCATTTTAATGAGAATTTAAATTGTCTGCAGGCTCCTGGGCTCAGGTGATCCTCCTGCCTCAGCCTCCTCGTTCCACTCCCTTTTGGCTAAAAAGTCAATTTAAATCACAATACATTCTTCTATTTTAATATTCAATGGTCATGCCCACTCTTACCAAGTCTCTCTCTGTCCAAGAGGTGTAGAATATCTGAAACAGGGTTGATTTTCCTATAAGGCAAAACAGGACTATTTTACTACCAGGGGTAGAAATATAAAAATAAAAGATACAGTCTCTGTGGTACTGTACAAACATGTTGAATTTATCTCAGTATTTTAGGTCAGAGGCTATTACTCTTTGATGATTCGTAACTGATGTGTTTGAGGAGACTTTCCTCTCCCTACTTGCATCAATTTTCACCCCCATGTCCTTATTACATGATACTTTTCATATACAGCTGCTAGAGTCTTCTTACGAAATCCTATATGCATCTTCTGAATGGCATTAGTAATAGGTACAGCCATCTTTAGCAGAATGCTTATCAAATTATGTGTTGATGCTCTTTATGTTTGCTCTTCTCTAATGTAAGCAAGAGCCCACACCTATATTATACGTACATCAATATACTTGTATGTATGTTTGGATAAATATGTCTTGCATATGGTCTATGAATACATGGATGTTTTTTCCATGATGAGAAGAGGTGTGTAATAAGAGGAAACTGGTATTCATGTAGTTCCTACTCTGTGACAGATGTTGTGGTATTGGGATGTGTGATGCCACTTCATCCTCATAATTCTTTACAGTAAACTTTACTACTCAAATGACTCAGATGAAGAAATTTGAGCTTTAAAAAGTTACACAAATAGATATTAATAGAAACATTTGGACAAAGGCTCCTTGACTCCCAAAATATTGTTTCCCCACTATCCAATATGGCATTAAGTCGACATGCATTGATACCATCATTTAATAACTGTGTGAACCTGGTAAATTTACATAATTGTTCTGATCCCCAGTCACTATCAGTATCATTTTATGAAACAAAGGGAATTTAATAATATCTATTTTTCAGTGTCATTTTGGGATCAAATGAAATTTAATTAAAAGTTAATATAAACCACAAAACATCACAAGAATAATTTATTTTCTTGCTTTGGCATTCTTAACCCATTCGAGAGAGTACAACCTTGGGTTTAATTTCTTTAGAGCACCACCGTGACTTTCTCATGTGTGTGTATATGCACTTATATGTAGGTAACATTGCTAAAATATCCATGGGCCTTCAGAAAACAGAGTGCTCTGAATGTAAGATGCACTTTAACATAATATAGATTTAACTGATGTTATTTCATAATTGCTATGCCACTAAAAGGAAAGAGCATTACACTGGGTACCTCAATTTCAGGATTCTATAAATTACAGTTTTCAGGCTCCTCTTCTGATGCTAAAGCCCAGGGATAAACTGAACATCCTGTGTGCTTCCCCAGATTTACCTACTTTGCTGCGTTTTCTTCAAGAAATCAGGGATCTTTGCTTCTCCTTCTCTAGAGGGAGAATTCTCAATTTCTCTGTCCTAGATATGCAGAATCCTTAGGGCATGGCAACAAGAAAGGCATGCCAATAAGCAATATACCTTTAATTAATTCATTCAGCAAATATTTATTGAGCATCTAGTATGTGGAAAACATTATAATAGATGCTAACAACAAAACCAAGATAAAATTATTTTCTGCTCCCAGACATACCCTATTTTGTAGGTGTGCTAAGACAATAATATAATCCATGTTAGTGTTTACTATATTCTATAAGTAATATACAGGAAAGGGCAAATATAATTCATTCACTTTACCTAAAAGTTGGTATTTGATATTAACCCTGGAAAATGAAGGGAAGTGTCAGGCGGTTGGGGAAGAGGGAGATACTTTAGGCCATGGCAGCAGATATGAAGGTTAAAAAAAAAAAATGACAAAGCAGTGCTTTGAGTGAAGAATTCTTAGAGGCAAATGATAGTAACTAAACTTAGATTCACATGCTGAATCTCACTCACTTATTGGGGAAGTAGTTAAGATATTGTTCTAAAGGCATGATGATCTGGTAACTCATTTCAAGAGAAGAGTGCTGAGATTAATTTGCAGCACAGTTTGGAAAGTGGGAAACCTATCATAATGCTTTTCTCCCTTGATCTTCTAAAATTACATCATTTCACCATTTTTCCTTTATGTTATAACTGCAGTTATTCAGTTTTGTTCCTTTTTGGTGAATTTCCTATTGCCATCCTTCACTCCTATTTCTATTGTCATATTTTGTCTGAATACTGTGTTCAGATGAATATCCCCCAAATTAATTTTATCATATGACAATTTTAGTCAAAAATGTGAATGATTCCTCTTTGTCAATAGAGAATTATTCTAACTTTGGCTCTTCTTTGCTTCCCAATAAAGGTTCTCTTTGACCTTCTGGGTTGCCTGTTTATGTTTCCCAGTATACTATATTCATTTTTTTTCCACATTATCTCCTTGCTTGCCCACTCTTCCTCTCATCTGAAATAATTTTTAAATTATATCTATCATTCAAATCTCAGGAAAATTTGCTCTTTTTTTGTTGTAAATACTTTTCAGACCATTCCCACTAACTTAAATCTCTCCAGTCTTTAAATTTGCATAACTATCAAAACCTAATTTTTTCATGAACGTTAATTTCTCTCTCTCTCTCTCTCTCTCACACACACACACACACACACACACACACACACACACACACACACACAAAACAAACAAACAACAAACCCAAAAAACATTTCCCTTTCTTTGGAAGCAAAACATTCTTTCTATGTGTTTTATTTCCCAACTATATTATATTAACTACTGTTTCCTGAACTTTCATCATATACCAGACACTGTTCTATGTGAATTAGTTGATTCAATCTTCATAGCATCCTTATTTGAGTAGACATAATCATTATTCTCAATTCCTGTGAGAAAATTTAGTCTGTCCTTAATAATGTGCTTACTAACATCATAGCAATCACAAAATATAGATTTGGTTTTCTTCATCAAATAAAAGTTGGCCTTTATTTGGTCAACTCAATAATCTATTTTATACACTTTTTTTCATGATTTATCCTTTTTCATCAGGGAAAGTCAACTTCCAAGGAATATTAAACAACATGAGAACAGAAGAAGGTTCAGGGAGATTTCACACCCTTTGTCAAGTTTTTATCTTGCCCTTTCTTATATTTTTAATTAATATTCACCTTAGCTTGGCTTAGAGAAGATAACCAATTACATGGACTTGGTCTACTCTAACCTACAACATAATAAAGTGACAAGTATAGCACCCTCTGTTGGATGCCACGTGTAAAAGTCATTGAATTATTATCAATTCAAAGAATTAAGTAATTCCCTGAACAGCAATGTAAAGCTCTGGGTAAATGATCCAGCTGTCAGGCAGTAATCTACTTTCAACTAAGTTTTGCTACATTGTGGTATCCTTTAGTGTGGAAACTATAGTTTACTTGTGTACATGATTCGAACAATATTTACTTCCCTCATTCTATTCTTATTCACACACAAAAACCTTCCCCAGATGTTTAAAAACAGTTTTGTATTGATCAACACGTTATTTCATACTTGTATTAGTGACACTGAAGCTTAAGGTTTTTTTTTCACTATTCATGGTTAATTGTGTCTCTTTCATCTTTACAAGGTATTATTAAATTTCCTTCTTTTGCCTATATGCTTACTTTTTAAATGTAAAAGACTTTTATTTATAATTTCCCCCAGATCAGATTTTTTTCAGATAAAATTGGCAAATGAAAAT